CTTGGCGGTGCACCCAAGCCAACCCTTCTGGCCAAGGGTCCATAGCAACTGAGACTGGGTGTCCCTATCTCTTTCACCACGTCTTTGGTGCCACTTACACCAAAGTGCTCAAATTAGATATGCTGAGCCATACTAAGCAATTTAACTGGGCATCACAACTCCGGGGCATACCCCGCTTGGCAGTGTGCCCAAGCCAGTCTCACTCACTAGGGCATAATGGTGGTTTGGAATATGAGGACACTTATGTTTCAATGGTCATGGACTCTTAGTAAGTGGGACTTGAACCCAAGCACTAGAGGGTCAGGACTCGAACCCAACTTCCATATATGCATCTACGGATGGCATCACCTAAAATGCTTAGTGTGACTCCCCACGCCAGTGCACTAACTTATACTTAAAGTGCGTTATAGATCACAATTTAAGAACCTAGTTCTTCCGCACTTCCAAGTCCTCTCACTTAACAAGTCTGTGAATATGCATGAACTCTTCCATGCTTGGCCCTATGGGCCACCCCTATTGAAGTTAGCACCTTCAACTAGGGGGTTTGTTCCCCTGACTTGCTAATCTCACTTCACAAGTCATCCAACTAATGTAACATGGTTTCATACACAAGCGTGAAAGTCTTTGACCTTCGACTTTTGTTCAAAGCTATCCCTTTGAACACTCGGGGACTACTTCCCCAACGTTGATAGCATTGCCTTTTGGCAAGCTTCAAAACCACGCTTCTGCTATGCCACTCTGATTTCACTTGTTCTATGAACCATTTACCCTTGGCTTTCTAAGTACTAAGCTACCTAAAATTGTCTTTAGAAACCTTGAAGGAACTCTGTCCTTTAGCTTGCTAAGGCCTCTCCTTTCGCAAGCTTTCTAATTGCCATATGGTCTAACATGGACAATTCTATGCTTTAGACTCTCCAATGCATCACGGTTGCTAGTAATAACATGCTTGAACGCCCATTTGATTCTCCACTCCCAACTGGCATAACCACCTTGGTTATGCTCTTCGATTCCTATGGTTTGGTTTTATCCCCTTACTACTTGCTTTTGGCATCACACCTTTCCTTCAGTTATTCTTCTCCAGACTAGGAGGATAGCTTTGCACTTTCTACCATGCCTTAGTAAGTATTCTTAGGGATGAACCTACCCAATAGCCTAGAGAATGGTTCCTCAATTCAGGCATGCTCAACTTGTAATCCCACACATGAAATTAAAGTAGCTACTTATGGGTCTTTATATGCCCATCACTAGCCTTGCCAAAATTCCATTTTTGGCTTTGTTCAATTCAGGTAGATAGTCTTCTCCTGTCTCTGCAACCTTGGACATTTGGATAGCAACTTCTATCCATCATTCACTAGGGACTTAGTCCCTTGGGCCTTATCTATTGCCCTTGCGATAACAAACACCACCTTGTGGTGCTCTAAAGCGTTTGGGTGTCTTAATGATGGCTTCTTTGATAATGAATATTCCCTTTTACGATATTGACTTACTATATTGCAACATAAGCAATTTATCCCCCGTAAGGGTATATTTAACTTCCTTATGCCAGAAGTCTTAGGTAGCTACCTTCTACTAGTTTAACCAATTATTTTGCACCTTTTGTTTAGTTGCCTCATAGTTGTCAAGTCCTATAACTCATTGCTGGTGCTTCCACACTTCCATCATTATCTGAATCACCACACTCCAACTGTATGCCTTCTAACTTAGGCTATACCATTCCCATTTCCATTAGGATTCCTTTAAGAAGGGTTCTCGTGAATCCACCAACTCATCTTAAGGCATCACGCCTTGGCACATTCAGTGTCTCTCCACCATCGGCTCCACGAACCTACCTTTATGACACTTCTTACTTGTGTTTAAGTCCTTGCCAAGACCAATGCAGTTCCTTCTCATGCTAACTATCCGTTAGCACTACACCATAGAGTTTACACCCAACTTTAGGTCAAAGTTGTTTTCTTTTAAGAACACCTTCCCCACAACTTTAGTATGGCCCATTCTATTATCAATGAGATACTCACTATTCTCATACTTGGATCTTATGATCCTCCCCAATTTTCGTGGGGCACAACACACCTTAGTCCAAATGCTTTTATTAATCCCTTAGGACCATTCCTTGACTCTACTCGAGTCATCTAGCATTTTTGGACTTTGCTAATCCACTAACCCGTAAAGTCTTATTTTTGAGGTGCTAGCTTGCTACAATACAACTGCATGTATTCATATCCTACTCATAAGGACCATCTTTGCAAGTGTTACTCCAACACTTTATTATTTGCCATTATCTGTGGGCTACCTTTGCCGCTTAGGACTATCCGTCCATATAATAAGAATACCAACTCATCCTCTGAGCACACCCCCAACACCTTGGGTTTGTTCTAGCATTTATAAAAGGTAACCCTGGCTACCATTTCAAGGACTCGTGTCCTATCTGTACTTGACCTCTCACGGTCATCCATTCCGGTCTTAAATTCATGAGCACTAACCTCAACTATATGAGGATAATTTTGTGACTCCTTTATTGTTTTGGAGTTTCTATCTTTCCTGTGATCCCAACTATAGTTGTTTACCACAACTACATTAACTAGTCTACTAAGTCAAATGCTTATCCGGATCACATCCTCAACTCTCCGAGGAAAACCTTATACTATTCCCAAGATCCCAAAGTCGTTCCCTTACTGGCCTCTTTTCTATCTACCACAATGCGCACAAGTTCACACATAAACTTAAGTGGAGAGCCATGTCCTCTCAACATGCTACTCCTTGTGGATAGATCCATTTCTAGGACCTTCCAATTCCAATACAAGTGGTGATATACTTGGCCACCAATAAGAGTTGGATTAAGGAACAACTCTTATACCAAATTGTAAGCGACTAAATTTTTCATTTTATTTTAGTCACCTAACCACACCTCCGACCACTCGGAGGAGTCTCACTCACAACCTCCTTAAGTCCTATTCTGGACTTGGGGACTTGTTAGCCCTGAGAATGGCATCCATGCTACTCAACCTTTGCACTTGGTCTAAGTGCTCCACGTGTTCAATCCCATGACCGACACCCCAAGGTACCACCGACATATCAGCTTGTTACGCTAAAACCATGCCCCCTCACCTTGGTCACATTGGTGGTCTAACACCACCCGCATCACAATCCTATCTCTCCAAGATTGGGCCATCCATTCATGAGTGGTCATCCCATATCCACTTCTTAGCACCCTTAGTATGCCTGTAGACATGGGGAATAGCTTTCTCCAATATCCCTTTTCACGTCCTTACCAAGTCCCTTTCTATCCATGGCCATGTTCACCAATACTGCCACTGGATCAAGGCCCATAGGCCCAACCACTAAGTCCCACAGTCCTCTAGGACTTCTTCGATATACGACTATGTCCTTGGTCACTACACCAAAGGACTGTTTCTCTTCCTTTCCACAGTCTGGGCCTTTGGGACAACATTTCGGAACACTGTGGCCCTATGTGAGCCTCGTGGGTACTCTCCCCGCCTTCCGCCTTTGGGTGCTCTAGCCATGGGCATAGAGTGAGGTTCCGTTGAGCCACGCTAGGTATTCAAGTAGGTAGTGCCACCCATGCTTGGACTGGGAGCATTGACCATTCGATCTCCCGAGGGAGCTAGAGCCGGCTCTTGAACACTTCACCAAGCTACCCCGTTTGTCAGTCCGTATTCACTCTAGTCTTGGATTTCCCAGTGGTTAGCTCATCACCCAACACTTGGGTATAGCCTTCCTAGGCCAAACTGGCCTTTCCTAGCCAAACTAGCCTTTCCTGGCCAAACTGGCTCCACTAGGGTCCAACCCCCACACTCTCTCTACTATACTTTTAGAACGCCCCGCAACCCCCCCCCCCCCCCCCCCCCCTCCGGAATAATCGCTTTGGGCTTTCACCCAACTACCTATATTAGTATTCGGACTCGGACTTGGTCTCGGTCTTGGACTCGGACTCGGACTCGGACTCGGACTCGGTCTCGGTCTTGGTCTCGGTCTCAGTCCTAGTTCTATCTCGGACTCCATCTCAGACTCCATCTCAGGTCCATCTTGGACTCCATTTTGGGTCCATCTCGGGTCCATCTCAGACTCCATCTCGGGCTCCATCTCAGGTCCATCTCAGACTCCATCTCTGGCTCCATCTTGGGTCCATCTCAGACTCCATTTTGGGTCCATCTCGGGTCCATCTTGGACTCAGTACAAAGTGGATGATTTGGTGTTAGTTTGTTTTCCCTATCTTATGGTACGTGGTTTATCTAAAGGGCTCCTTGCACAGTGGAAAAGACCATATCGGGTGTTGCGGCAAGTTGGACCACAAGTTCTGCATAATGTCTAGTGGGTTGATCCTCCGGAGATTGTGCATGTGCAGTGGTTGAACACTTCATACAAAGGGATCAGGAGCAATTAATACCACATATAGATCCATTAATGCCTCTTCCTGACGTTCTTCCAAATCCTATTATTTCGAGAAAAAGGGATGATGTAAGGGCTAAGTGTATGGTTACGATGCCATATACTTATATTAGCATAGTAGGATTTTGGTAGCCGTCGGATTAGTTTTAATCCAGACCATTCACTCTTATATATAAACTAGGGTTTTTAGGCTAATTGATATGCACATTTTCTATATTCCCTTTCCATATCACACCTCTTAATATTTTAAAGTTTATAATGTTTATATTAAATTACAATTTAAAATTGGGCTAAACTCCTGAGCTTTTAACTGTGGAATGGCCTGCATTCCTCAAAAGCATATGATCCTCTCTCCTAAAAACAATCTGGCACATTGGGATTTCCAGCACAGATTGCCATTGGCCCCTAGACAGGCTTTTGCATGATGAATTGACAAAGCCGGTGGTGTCACGATTGCTGTGAAGCTCCACCTGCATCGCTGCTGTGCAATAAGGATGATCCCCTAGTTCTGGAGCAGCTCCCTGGCCTCGATAATCCTGAGATCATCTCCAGATTTTAGGGTTCTTGGTCCCAATGTTATTTATAGTAAGGGTCTAAAGAGCTATTCCACTGTCAAAGCCCTAAAATCAGGAAATGGGTACCGAGGAGAGCTTTGTGAAGCTCGAGGCGCTCCCTCATGGCGTCTACGTTCTCAAATTTGATGGTGGAGATGGGCAGCACAGGTGATCCATCCAGTTTCTTACATGAGAATGAGAATCAAAGTGAATTTCAGGTTGAATCCGACCACTATAGCAGAGATTCATTCGGCGCTTGACAAGGTAATCACGAAAGCAATCTCTCTCTCAGTCGCGCAAATTCATTCGCACTTCCAGGTTGAGGATGATCCCAAGGCAGCTGCTTTGATCACTACGAATGAGGTAAACAGCGAAAACATCTAGGAGGAAGGAGAAAGATTTTGATTGTTTTCTTTCTTTGGACAGGGAAAGTTTTTCTCGAATGGTCTTGACTTGGGATTCGCACAAAGTAGCCCGGGGAATTTTAAGGCTTGTGGGATCAATCTTAGTCCTTGAAGTTTCTCTCAACTTGAGTTGTTTTTTCCAGTACCTGGTCGATCTCTTTCTCAATCTCCTCGATCGTTTTCTTTGTTTTCCAATGCCGACAATCGCAGCAATCTGGTCAGTTTTTCGTGACAAGCCTGAGAATTCTTTTTTCTCTTTTCTGTTCTTACGTTTTCGAGATCGTTTGTCAGTGGCCATGCTGCAGCCGGAGGATGCATGCTCGCACTCGCACACGACTACCGGGTGATGCGAATTGACCGTGGCTATATTTTCATGAACGAGGCAAGTTTTCTCTTCCTTCTACACAACTTTTCTCACGGTTTCACAGGTGGAGATCAATCTCCATATGAGTCCAGGAATGATCTCTCTGATTCGTTGCAAGCTACCAGTCGCCACTTTCCACAAATCTCTCCTCTCTGCGTAAGTTCCTTCTTTCATTTTCAAGTGAAAGAGAGCTAGAGAGAGCGACGTTGTTTTGTTTTCTTCGCCCAGGCACAAATACACTGGCAAGCCCGCCGAGGAAGCTGGCTTTGTTTACGCCTCCTTTCCAGACGCGCGCTCCACTCAAGAAGAAGCAATACAGAAAGGTACAGAACTCTTCCAAGCTTTTGCTGCGACTTTGCTACATTCTGTCTCATCGCAGCAACCGAACTGGCGAAGAAGAAGTATAACCGCTCCATTTACAAAGCTATAAAGGTACGAATACGATTGAGGGAAGGCTGTCAGCCAGAATTGCGTGTGCGAAAACTTTGTTTTGTTCTTTTGTTGTTGCAGTCTGAGATGTTCAGAGTGGAACTTCGAGATCTTCGATCCGGGGACCACGGCCCGCCTCCTGGTATCATACTCTCCAAAATTTGAGCGGCTGGTACGTGCGAGAATTGATCAAGCTCTATCCTTTACGCGTCACTTTGCTTTTGTTTTGTTTGTGTCAGGAAGATGGTGCCAAAGCTTGCCGAAAACCAGAGAAGCACGGCAAAAAAAGAAGAAGAAACAAAGAATTGTCTTGGATTGAGTGAAAGCTCTTGAATCTCCTTCAGAAGAAAAGAGGTTAACTTTCGAGTTCCAAGCTCGAGTTTAATAACAAAGTATGAAAGTTCGTTGTGTCCTATGATTCGGCGTGTTCGAGTTCTTTCCTTGCATGGTTCCAAAAACAAATCGAGCTCGAAAATTTTGACTCCACAACAACGTTTCTTCATTCACATTTGGTGTGAGCGGAAAAAAATTTGGGGTCTTTTTCTTATAAACAATGGGATGGAAAAGAATTTTTCAAAGTCAAAACTTTGGTATGACAAAAAATAAAAACCAGGCATCAGGACGCCGCCGGATTCACCTTTCTCGACGATCTAGACCGTCCAATCCGCGTCGCCGGCGGCGTCTTGGCCGCCGCCGCCGCTGTACTGGCCCCAAAAGTCTGCGAAAGGTGTACCATCTCGGCCATGGACGACGTCACGTAGCTCTGGCCGTACAGGTCGTCGTCGTTTGGGCCCTGGCGCATCGTCGCCCGCTGGTGCAAGTGAGAGCTGTGTACGGACAGCGTATATGCCCTCCCCGACTCCTCGTAGATCCTCCGATTCTCCATCCTGTGGAGCACTTCTCCCAGCTCCGAGTGGAGGGACTTTGACAGCGCGTCGCCGCTCGCAAACGCAAACGATCGCTCAATGCGGCTTCGCGACGCCGAGATCGCGTCCTGGGCGGCCTCCAGATTGCCCGCGTCCGCGAGATTCCCAGCGCTGGCCATCGTTTCCGAGACGAGCAGACGGTTTCTCTGGCGATCCACCTCCAGGCTCGCGGTTTGAGACGAGTTCTGCACGATCGCAGGCCTCCGGACTGATATGGACGTTGATCCGGCCTCCGCGACCTCGCCCGGCTCCAATGCATCCCTGTAGCGGCACCCAATCCGGAAGATCTCGATCGACTCCGCCTCGGCGCAGGCGCCCAGCTCGATCTGGACCAAGACGTCGCGCTCCTCCTCGGCGTAGAGATCGCCCAGCGTCACCAGCGCGCTGGAGCCATCGCCCGATACCCAGCTCTCAAATCCCCCATTCTCCACCTTTAAGATCTTCACCCATGCCGCCGCGGCATGCAGCCAGACCTCCACGCCCTGCGACACGACGCTGAGAAGCCCGCCGATGCACTGCGCGAAGGCGTCGCGTACCGCCGCGGCCGCGTGGACGAACGAGAAGGTGCCACCTGTTGCCTCGGCGATGGCGTGGAGCGTCGGGGCGTCGTGGTCGGAGCCCACCCCGAATGCGTGGACGGGCGGCATGTGGCGGTATACCGCCGAGAGCGACTGCCGCAACAGGTTAGATGAGAAAAATGCTGACGTGTCCTGCCCGTCCGAGAGGAGGATGACGCTGGATACCGCGTTGCGGTGCCGCCGGTCGCCCAGCACCTTGCCCGCCTTCTTGAGCGCGTCGCCGATGTTGGTACCGCCGGATGCCACCAGCGCATGAACGGCGCGTACCGCGCGGCGCTTGTTGGTGTCGTCCATTCGCTTGAGAGGGAAGAGCCGAGCGGCGTTGGTGGCGAAGGAGATCACGCTCAGCCGATCACGCGGCCCCAGCTGCCCGATGACGAATTCCATGGCCGATTTCACCAGCGCGAGCTTGGATCCCGCCATGGAGCCGCTCACATCGAGCACCGTGACGAGATCGATGGGAGCTCGAGCGCTCCCGGTAGCGCTGCCGCCGCCGCCGCTGCTCGATGCCTTGAGATTGACGAGCACTGTGAAGGGATTCCTGGATTGATCCGCCTGGACGGAGCCACACTCGGTGAATGCCGCGATCTTGGGCGCTCGCGATGGCGGTGCTTGGTGCTGGAAATCCTGGGACGATATATCCCTTGGATCGACGGAGACGTTGTGGATGCTGCTGCCACATTCCTCATCGTCGTCATAGACCGCGGGATCCGATCGATTGTCCGCGCGGCTGGCGCTGATCATCCGGCCGTAGCGCGCGCGCTCGCGCTGGATGGACTCGTTGAGGATTCGCAGCACTGGATCGACGTGGTAATTCCCGTGGGAGACGAATGGCTGGGAGTGATGAGATCGCAGCTCTGGCGGGGATTCTTTGACCTGCTGCCAGGGAAGATCGATCCATTTGGCCCGGCACACGGGGCAGACGCGATTGCCATGCCGGACATTCGATGCGATGCACGAGAAGTGGAACATGTGGGAGCACTCGGCTGTGAACAAGGCGTGGCCGGCCCCGGGCGCCATTTGATCGAGGCAGATGGAGCACATACCCTGGAAATATCACCAAGAACATCAATAAACTTTCGATCGGATCGAGATTTCGATCGCATCGATATCGATCGACGCGCGATCATACCTCGCGCATGCTCCTCCTCCCGGTGCTCTTGCTCCTCCTCCCGCTCGCTGACCTGGCCCCGGATTCTTGGAGCGGCCGATCCAGCGCCATCAAATCCTGGAGGCTGGGAAGCGCCGCCGCCGCAATCTCATCGCCGCGCCGATCGCCGCCCGACGTGATGCACAGATTGGACGCCAGCATCGCCCTGGCCGACTTCCATCCCTTTCCCATCTAAAGAATCGCTAGAAAGAATTGCGCCGCTAGCTAGATCTCCAGCTCCTGGGGCACCGCTTGTTCGCGACTTTATACCTAGCGCTAGAATGGATCTCTATCTATCCCGCGCTGCGTGGGTGGCTCTCGCTCAGCAGCCTACAATCTTGAAATTCAAACAAACCGACACGCATAAATTTCTTTTGTGAGCCAGTCAAACTAGGAGACACACGTCAGCACTCCCTCGCTTATCGGATGGACAGACACGTGGCCCCCGCATACCCGTCAGCAGGACCCCTGCCCGTCGGATGGACGGTGATCGCCAACACACACAAACATCGTGTCCAAACTATAGGAAACGAAGAAACTCGGTGTTTTCCCCTTGGCGCGGCGATGGAGATCGTCAAAATAGAAGTGCTGCCTGGATGCTTTCGCGCAAACTTTTGCCTCTTTTCGTCTCTCTTTTGTTTCGATCCCACTGTTTGATCCAATGCTGGAAACAGTGGAGCAACGCGCAAGGAAGCGAGAGACTAAGGACTAGATCTCGGTTGGCAGCCGGGTTTTTTAAGCTTGCGCGAGTTCTCATTTGTGGAGCTCCACTGTTTGATATCGCGTACTGTAGACGTGAAGTGAGCTACACTCAAAGAAGAAAACCCACAGTTTTTTATTGTACCTCACTCTCGCTCTCCAATCGGTTGCTTGTCAACGCAAGCGTGCCTGTGTTCCTGCCACAATAATTTTATCCTTTGCTTCTTTGGTTTTGCTGCGAGTCCAAGTTACAACTTAACAGCACCGAAACATGCAAATGGCCCACCTGGTTTGAAAGGCAGGACGTTGACAAAAAGTGGAGGAGCCGAGCTTACCTGACAAAAAAAAAACCAACAAAAGAAACTCGGGATCAGATCAAATCTACTTGCCAGCAACTTGCAAAGGTCGACTCTTCGATGTTTCCCAAAGTCACGTTCGAAAAAAGATAGATTTGAGCTAGAACCAGAGCGACAAGACGAGTGGATTACCTGGATCGCAGAAAGCGAGAGAGAGAGAGACGAGGAAAGAAACAAAAAGAAGCTTGAGTAGTTTAAGATCTAGACACTTACATGCACGAATCCTTCGTGTTTAGAGATTAACATTACAGTTTTGCGACTAAAGGTCTGTCAAACCAATCATCGGAGAGCCTGAACACACACAAAACAGTCATCCTGTTAGTAAACAAATGCCAAATCGCAATGAGATATTTCTATCTCGAAGCAAACAGACGAAAGAGTTTAAATGCGTGACACCCACCTGGTTGACTCTCTTGCCGATTGGTTTTTTCTGATGGTGAGGATGATCTCTTTCCAAACGGCCTTTAGTCGAATCCAGAGTAAACGCCACGGTCGCGCAGCAAGCGTTTCTCTTCCTCAACGTAGCTCTTCCCCCTGCTCGCCTGACCGAGGTCTCTCTTTCGTTTTTCCTTCTTGGAGAAAGTTTGAGCCCGTTGCTCCGCTGCAGCGTCCCTGCGTTGCTTCTTTGCGAATTGGTACTCGTTGAAAGTATTTTCAGCGAACTGCGGAAACAAAACGAAGGTATCGTATCAAGCGTGAGAAAATGGAAAAAAGTTGACCAAGAAAAAGAAAGAAAACTTCACTTGAAAGAGACAATGGAAAGAGAAACGAACCTTTTCGGCGCCAGTGTTGACAATCTCTCGAGTTCGCTCTCGCTCATCAATATTTTCGACCTCTTCGGCTTGCCTCTCTTCGTCGGTCTTTTGCTTCCCACCAGACCACGACCAATTGCTCTCAAAGTTGGCATTGCGATTCGGAGCTGGAACATTTAAAACTGATGGCCCACTGGAGTACCCGTGTTTTGCCAAGTCCGCGAAGCTCAAGTCTCCTTTCTTTGAAGCCTTTTTTCGCTCTGGAACATGAAAAATTTAGCGTTGTGAGACAGTTCATCGCGACTAGCAAACAGGCAAAGAATTCATGACACTTCGAATCGGGAATGAGGAACTATTTAGCTGCCTTGGCAACCAAGAATTGTCGACAATGTCTAAACCCATGACACTTACGTGGAATCGCCGCTGGAGCTTATGTTTCCAAGAAAAAAGAAAGAAAAGGGAATGAATGCAGAACTATCTAGCTGCTTTCGTGCATTTCGCGAAGTTCATCGCAACTACCAAACAACGCAAAGAATAGCAAAATGTCGACTAAGTGACACTTACTTGGAATCGCCGCTGGAGCTGGAGACTCTACCGGCGCCTTCGATTCCTGCTCTGAATCCGACGAGGAGAGGCCGAGACCGCTGCTGGAGCTCGCGCTGTCATCCTCGCCTTCCGCCATTTTCCCCTTCGAAGATTTAGGGTTCTTGGAAGGACCCTAAATGCGACACAATAGAACCGATTTGCTTAAATCCATCCAATCTTGCCGGTCTCTGTCCGCAGCGCTAGAAATCCACCATCGCATCCTCCCTCTGCCCACCAGCGACGCCTTCCTCTGCAACAATCTCATCGAGATGTATGGGAGATTGGGCAGCTCCGAAAGCGCGCGCGAGATCTTCGACGCGATGGGATCCAGCAGGAATTCCTTCTCATGGTCGCTGATGATGAATGCCTACGCCAGGAATTCCTTGCTGCGCGAGGCTAGGCGTGTTTTCGATGAGATGCCTGAGAGAGATCGAAACCTAGTGTGCTGGAACGCACTACTCGCGGCATATGCCCAAACGGGGCACTTTGAGGACGCAGAGGATCTCTTCGATCAAATGCCCGGGAGGGATTTGGTATCATGGAACACAATGTTAAATGCGTTTGTCACAACCAGAGATCTGGGTCAAACGGCAAAACTCTTTGAAAGTATTCCAGAGCCAAACCTGATTTCATGGACTTCCATGATCACAGCAAATGCCCAAAGCGGGCATCTGGATGAATCAAGAAAAATGTTCAATGACATGCCCCAGAGAGATATTGTGTCGTGGAACGCAATGGTGGCAGCATTTACGCAGTATGGGAGTTTTGAGGAGGGTAAATTGGTGTTTCATGGCATGCCCGAGAGGGATCTTGCGACGTGGAATGTCATGCTAACTGCGTATGCCCAAGCAGGGCAAATGGAGACTGCAGAGACTATGTTCGAGGAAATGCCACGCCAGGACCTGGGCTCTTGGAACGCGATGCTTACAGGGTATGCCTATAGCGGGAGTACCAGGAAAGCAAAGGATTGCTTTGATCGCATGCCCCAGTGGAATATAATCTCCTGGAATTGTATGATTTCTTCCTATACTCATGTAGATCAGGCAAAGATACTGTTTGATCAAATGCCGCAAAGAGATGTGGTGTCCTTCAACGTGATACTTGCTATGTATTTTGAACATGCTCGACTTGAGGAAGCGATAGGAGTCTTTGATGCCATGCCTGAAAGGAATCTGGTGACTTGGAACTCTCTATTATCAGGATATGCCCAAAGTGGGCATCTTGGGTTTGCCAAGCAAACCTTTGAGGAAATGGTACACAAGGATCTGGTGTCCTGGAACGCGATGCTTTCGGCATATTCTCAAAACGGGCATCTGGAAGATGCGCAGGCACTCTTTAAAGAGATGCCAAAGAGGGACGTGGTGTCCTGGAATATACTGCTCGTGTCTTATGCCCAAGCGGGTCATATTGAGGAATCCAAACAGCTGTTTGACGCAATGCCAAAAAGAAACCTTGTATCCTGGAATGCACTTCTTTCGGTCTACGCACAGAACGGGCATGTTGAAGAGGCCAAACATGTTTTTCACATTATGCCACAGAAAGACTTGGTATCGCTCACATCTATTCTTCCTGCTTATGCCCAAACTGGGCATCTAGAAGATGCTAAAGCTTTGTTTGATCAAATGCCGGAGAGGGATGTGGTGTTGTGGACCGCGATGCTGGATGCCTATGGCCAGAACGGAAATCTTGAGCTTGCCAAAGGAATTTTTGATGACATGCCTTGCCAAAATTTGATATCTTGGAATGCAATGTTGGTGGCTTATGCGCAAAGCGGGTATCTGGAAGAGGCTAAGCATTTCTTTGACGTCCTGCCACAGAGGAGCATTGTGTCTTGGAACACAATGCTATTGACATATACCCTATCAGGTCATATCCTGGCAGCAAGGAAGACGTTTGATCAGATGGGGGAGAGAGATACCATCACTTGGAACACCATCCTTTCAGTTTATGCTCAGAGTGGAACACAGCATGTCGAGGCCTTTTATCTCTTCACTAGGATGAAGCTTCTTGATTCTTGCGACGGAGCTTCATTTGCCTTAGCTCTCATTTCTTGTAGCTACATTGGCAATGTTTCCAAGGGCAGGGAACTGTTTGTGTCCATGGCTACCGACTTTGGAATCAAACCCTCAAAGCAACACTTTTGCTGCATGGTTGACGTATTTGCCCGGTCGGGGCATCTGCTGAAAGCCGAGGAACTCCTTCTAAACATGCCGTTTGTGCCGGATGCCGTCGAGTGGAGATGCTTGCTCGGAGCTTCTCGGAGCCACAACCGGGTCAGAGATGGCGCTCGAGCCGCAAGCTTTGTGTTCGATCTAGATCCCAAAGACACGGCAGGGTATATGCTCTTGGCAAACATGTATCAACAGAATGTTATAAATACAAACAATCCAATCGTATTGTCAGGCAAAGATTGTTAGCATTTGGAAACAAAAATTAATGATCATGTGATTGATATATTACATCCTTTGGGGCAACTAAAAGGATTTGATTCTGTTAAAATACTATTCTTTGTGTATGTGCGCCATGTGTAAATCTTTTCACAAGCTTTGTCTTTGTTTGCCTTAGGAGTCAATGGGACGTGCCAACGAAGAGATTCAACACGCGGGTTCGATTCCCTCCCCCACATGCACAAGCGATGAATATTCCTCCCTTGGTTTGTAGACGATGTTTTGGATCGCGAGGCCCGCAGCGTGGAAGCATCTCAGGTGCCACCGACAGCTAGGCGCGCGATTGAATCTAGCGGCTTATTTTAAAAAAGATTCTGGGATATTCCGGTGGGGGGAATCCGACGGTGGCGACGGTGTGAAGCCTACGTGGACAGATGCGATGGCTGCCATGCCCTTAAGATCAAAACGGACGGCCGGGATCTTTGGTGTGTAGGTGTGAACGTCCCAGAACCCCTGCGTTGCGAGAGGCGAGTCTTTGGCGCAAGGGTTTTTGCCCGAAGATCGGAGGCGCCGCGCGCGAGGAAATCTTCGTCTGGTGAGTCCTAGGCCTCCGCGCTGCGAATGTAGCGCCGCTCCTTTTCTTGCTTCCCCGATCTCTCGATCTTGCCGTGACGCGCGATCTTTGCTCGGTGTAGGGTTTTGGAGGTATGGCGCCAGCGTCGGACGATACTATCCAGCTGCCGGCATCGACATCGGCGGATTCGTCGTCGCGTCGGCTCTTTGCCAGGGAAAAGAGCGTTCACGAGCTTCTTGGCGGCGGATTATGTGAGTTTTGTGCATGTTTGGGCTTCTTCCCTTAAAAAATTCTCCTTTTCCTTTGCAGTGGGCGATGTTTTGCTATGGAGGAAGAAGCATCTCTCCGCGTCGGTTTTGGGGATTGCCACGCTCATCTACGTCCTGTTTGAGTGGTGTGGCTACACTGTGCTCTCGGTGTTTTGCAACACCTTTCTGCTGATTACCATCGTCCTTTTTGTTTGGTCCCTTGGGGCCAGCTTCACGAACAGGTAACTCGCAGCGTAGTTCCTTTCTTCAATGGTTTCATGTTTTCTTTTCTATTTTGCAGACCTCCCCCTCGTATTCCTGAGTTACAGCTCTCGGAGAAAACTGTCCAGGATGTTGCACACACGGTGCAATTACAGTTCAATAACGCTGTGGGAGCTTTTCGTTCAATCGTCCTCGAGAGAAATTACGTGCTCTTTCTCAAGGTGGAGTTTTTTTTTTCTCTCTTTTCTTTGCGACTTCTTAGCATCAGTCCTTTTGTTTAGGCTGCTGCCGGTCTTTGGCTACTTTCCACCGTTGGCTCGTGGACTAGTCTCCTGACTCTTCTTTATATCGGTACGTGTCACGAGAAACTTCTGTTTGAGCAGCCGCCTTAAATGCCTCTCGGCTTCTCAGGTGTGATCGTTGCGCATATCATTCCGTTCGTGTATGACAAGTACGAGGACAAGATCGAGCACTACATGAAGGTGGCCGTGAGCGAGGGAAAGAAGCAGTACAGCAAAGTAGACGAAATGGTGGTGAAGAAGATCCCGAGAGCGGCGAAAGAGAAGAAGTCCGAGTAGTAGCACCGTCACCACCATCACGGGTTCAGCCTTTCCTCCTTCCATTCTCTCGTTGGTTTCGATATTTAGAGCTCTGCAATTTCACCAGGTTGGATGATCTGAGCACAGTGTTCACAGTGTTCATATGTAAGAACCATTCCCTGTAAGAAACATTTCCTTTTTCACTAGCGGTGCAATCGATCTCGTTTTTTTTCCTTCCGGTATATTCTCGAGACTGTACGTAACAGCTACTGCGTAACTGCCGGTGCTTCAAGTGGGGAAAATCGTATCCCAAAGTGGGCCGGTTTTTTCACTTAGCAAGAACATATCATCTCCGGGAAGTTTTTCTTGGCTAGCTTCCGTTTTTTAATTTTTTTTGTTTTTTTTTGGAGGTACCACTGTGCCTAGAGGATCCACAGCTGCTATTTTACTTCAATCGGATCCTTTCATGGGACTGCTGCTGCTCGTCCTTGCTACTTAAACAGTGCTAAAGTTCTCCGGTGGTGAAGTGTAACAATGGACTTTCTCATCGGGAGACTGGTGTTAGCGCTGGCGATGGTGGCCGTGCTTGTCTCTGCCGATGATGATGTTGATGCTGGACCGGTATACATCGTCAGGATGAAGGGACATCCGATTGCCGCTATGATCGACAAGCCTGTCTATGCCATTAATGAGGAAGATGATCATGAAACGAGGTAGTATATTGTCTTCATTGTTTCAACTCGTAACTTCGTCTTGTTTTTTTCGTTTTCTTTTTGTTTTTCCAGAGATTTCGTGGAGATGCATACGGCAAGCTTGAGACGGAACCACGATGCGTTTCTGGAAAGCTTGCTCGAAGAAGGGAGCTACGAGAAGCTGTACAGCTATACGTACCTTATGAATGGTTTCGCTGTGAAGCTCAGGGATGAAGTTCATGTAAGTCGTTTCCTTATAAAGTTTTACTTGTTTCGGTACTTATCCGGTGCTACGGTCAGGTTGATTCTATCAGAGCTCATCCGGATGTTCTATCGCTGGAACACGAGGTGCATTTCCGAAAGACAACGACTTACACACCGTTTTTCTTGGGCCTGGATCCAAGAGCTTGGAAGAACGTCGGGACATTTGCAAAGGCCGGGGAAGATATCGTCATTGGAGTTCTGGATACTGGGATCGATCCACGCCACCCCAGCTTTGCAAACACCACCTCAAGGCCTTACTCGTTCAATCGACACTGGGAGAAGGTGTGCGCTGCGTCCCCGACATTTCCCAAAGGTTCCTGCAACGGGAAGATCATTGGCGCTCGTCACTTCTCCAAAGGCATTGTAGCTGCGAACGCGTTCAATGCGAGCAATGACTACGATTCCCCGCTCGATGGTGATGGTCACGGGAGGTAAGCTTAACGTTTCTCTTCTCTTTAGTGGTAAAGCAGATGTTTTGTATCTACAGCCATACCAGCTCTGTTTGTGCCGGCAACAATGGTGTTTACGTGAGTGTGGACAAGTATATCTATGGGAGAGCAAGCGGAATGGCTCCTCGCGCACGGTGAGCTCATGTTTTTGTAGTAAACCGTCCATCAACTTAGCTCTCTCAGGATTGCGGTGTACAAAGTCATTTACAGAGATGGTGGCTACTTGTCTGATGTTCTTGCGGGGATTGATCAGGTTTGCCTTGCGCTATTTTCTTCTTTGTTTCATTCCGTGAGTTGGAACACAGGCCGTTCAAGATGGAGTTCATGTGCTGAGTATCTCTCTCGGTGCCACTAGTGGAGCCTACGGTGTTCCGTTCCTCAACTCCTTCGACATTATGATGCTCCTCGCGTTCAAGGCGAACGTTTTCATCGTCCATGCTGCTGGGAACAACGGTCCTGCCGCCTTCAGTATGAACTCGTTCGGGCCGTGGGTGTTGTCGGTCGCAGCTGGTATGACAGATCGAACGTACTCGACTCCGATAATTCTCGGCAACGGGCAATGGGTGTATGGAACTGGTCTAACAGGTAAGCGTGTGAAACACTCTCGTAGAAGGCCATCGCTAACCTTTGGAACCATTTGCACTGTAGCTGGAACCAGCGCTCGCAAGTTGTATCCTTTGATTTATTCCCAGGATGCGTACATCGCCGGGGTGACGTCCTTCGACCAGGAGTTTTACTCTTACTGCTCCGACCCCTCGCCTTTCAACAAGACTCTCGTCAGCGGGAAGATTCTCATTTGCAACTTTGTCGACTACTTTTCTGGTGGTGCCGTCACACAAATCGAAGGCGCTCTCGCAACTGCCATTGCCACGGGAGCTGCTGGCCTCCTCATTGTCTTCCCAACATCCGCCGAGAAAACGCCAACCAAAGACACGGTCTTTGATCCAATTCCTTTCACGATACCCGCGAGCTTTGTGGTGGATCCAAACGCGTCAGCGGTAAGCTGTTTTGTTTCCAAGCTTCTTAACTTGTTTCTTTTTCGCTCTGGCAGCTCATACTACAACACTACAACGAGAAGACTGTGAAAGACAGCAAGGGGCAAGTGTTGAGGTTCGATGCACAAGCCAGGATCGAGGACTCGAGACACCCCTTGTATCCATTGGAAGCACCGAGAGTGGCCTCGTATTCTTCCAGAGGCCCGGTCTACGCTGACACGGTTACGTCCCTGGTAGCAGACGTGATGAAACCAGACGTCCTCGCACCTGGAAACCAGATATGGGGTGCATGGACACCCAAAGGAACCGACGCAAACTCTTTCACAGGCAAGCCTGTAACTTCAGCTTCTTGTTCTTTTTCTTACAAACTCTATATACCAGGTCGCAACTTTGCCATGCTTTCCGGGACGAGCATGGCCACTCCGCACGTCGCCGGAATCGCCGCGCTCTTGATCCAAAAGTACCCGAGGTGGCGCGCCTCAACCATCCGCTCGGCGATCATGACCACCGCGGACAACTTCGACAACCGCGACCGCTGGACGCGAGCCGAGCAGCCGTACTCCAACTCGTCCCAGGCGATCGGCCGGGCCTGCCCCTTCGACATTGGCAGCGGTGCTATCAACGCCACCGCAGCGCTCGATCCAGGCCTCGTCTTCGACGTTGGTAAGCTTGGCTTTTCTCGTTTTCTCGATCCAGAGCTTTCACAAACTTGTAACGCTCGTCTTCCTCGTTCCCAGGATTCCAGGATTACGTGGACTTCCTGTGCGAGATCCCGGGGGCCGACCAAAACTCGGTGGAGTACTCGACGGGGGCTCATTGCGGGCCTGAAAACAAGAACCCCTCGGACCTCAACATGCCGTACATCACGGTGGCGAACTTGATAGGCAGCCGGGTGGTGCAGCGAACCGTGGTAAACTTGGGCGGCGAGGAAACTTACAACGTCACGGTGAGGCATCCAGCGGGGGTGGACGTGTCGGTGAAGCCGCGGGTTTTCAAGGCCAGGACTGGGAAGCCAGTGGTCATCAACGTGACGCTCACCGCGACGCAGACCAACCAACAGTTCACCTTCGGGTATATGATCTGGGACGGCGACAAGGGTCATTCCGTACGCGTTCCCCTCGTTGTCTCGGCGAACTCTATGAGCGGGTAAACAAAGTTCTTTGCTCTCTCTCTCTCCTCTCTCTCTCTCTCTCATATTTTTTCTACAAAGATGATGGCTCTCTCTTCCATTTTGAATCTCTCTTGATCTCTCTTCTACAAAGACCATTTTGATCATCTTTCTCTCTAAGGCCATCTCTCTCTCTCTCATATTTTTTCTACAAAGATGATGGCTCTCTTCCATTTTGAATCTCTCTTTCTCTCTAAGGCCATCTCTCTCTCTCTCTCTCTCCGTTTTTTTCTTTTCTTTGATTGGAAACAGGGACCATTTTGATCATGGCACCGCCGCAAACTAAGATTGAGATTTTCCTCTTGTAAATAAAAGAGACTCTCTCTGGAACTCTTTTTCCTTTTCCTCGTTAAACATTGGAGAGAATCACGCCAGCTGTTGCTTCCATGTCTCCGTAATGCCCAGCAAAGAAAAAAAAGGGTTTTTCCTCCTCCCCGCGGCAATGAATCGGCCCCAAGGCCGCCGTACAAGACATGCCCTTTTAGCAGATGGAAACACCGCCAGTGTTGAGATCGGTAAGAATATTTGTTGCGCTCATTTTCCTTGTTGGCCACTAAGACTGTTGGCTTGTTGGCCTCCAACAGAATCGCAATCGGATCTTCACTCATTCATTCCTTGCGCTATGCCGTCCCCTGTACGGACTGCCCCCCGGCACGTTCGTACCGGAGATTTCTCGCAACCAAGTTTAGAGACAAGCCATCGTGCCAGTGTTACAAATCCATCTGGCCAGTGTTACAATCCATCCAGCAGATGTTACAAACCAATGTTATATGCGCTAAAACATTACACTTTATCACGTTGTTCGCGTCAAAAAAGAAAAATACACTCCCCTTCTTTCTTCTCTCCTTTTTTTTTTCTTGCGTTAATTTTCTCCGCGTTGCTCTGTGGAGATTTTTCAACAAAGGTAGAAAAAAAGCGAGGATTTTGTTTCCATGTACAAGAGAGAAAGTAAAGAGGGGAGCCACTGTTCTTGGTCCTTATTGGAAACGAGCGAGAGAGAGCGAGAGAGAAAGAGGGAAAGAGCGAGACTGCAAAACCACCCCTTTTCTTCGTAGCGCAAATTTTCCAGCTTTGATTCCCCGACCCTTCTCATGGCACAGCTATTTAGCAGCTATAGACGTCTTCAAAAATGCTTCTTTGTGTTTCCCTGTTTTTTTTTTTTTTCTTCTTCTTCTTTTCTCTTTCGTTTTTTTAGCGGTTTTTTTGTCTTCCTCAAGATTTTACTTCGTCAGCTTGTAGCCTCGGCTTCTCTCGGAACTGATCCAGAAAACAAAGACATCGTCAGTCCAGAGACTAAAAGCACGCAAAAGAAAAACAAAACTTACCACCAAGACCAATTGCGTCAGACCCCTTCATGATCCGTAGCCTTTTCACAGTCGCTGCAAACATCCTGGAGTAGCAGGACAAGATCAGAACTCCACTTGGGATCCAGAGACAAAAAACAATTTACCTCCATGGAACATCGCCAACGAGCATCAAATCCCCGTCTTTGTCCTCGTAAGTCAGGACGTACTCCGTCTCATATCCATCAAAGAGGCTCCGGACATCTCCAGACGATTTTTGTTTGGACATCGGCTGGCCTGATCAGCGAAAGCAGCAAAAGTACTCGTTAGTCGATGGACACATCAAGCTTTCCAGATCTAAAGCGAAAGTAGCTCACCGCTCACGAATCCGCTAAACATATCCTTGAGAGCCGAGGAGAGCTTCACGTAGCTGTTGTTGGAATCCAGATCCACTTTCCGGCCGATCGGGAGGCCGTCCATGTACACCTTGACAAAGAGTGAGTTGTTGCTCGCTGCTGCTTGGCCACCATTACTGCCTTGATCCGGAGTCGCGAGCTCCGCGGCCTGCTTTACAGTTTGTGCTGGTGCAACCAACGTGTTCTTCCTAAAGGACTGAACTGGCGGCCACCCAACCATCGGACCACTGCAAATAAATAAGATATTCAGTTATACTTCTTTGAAAAAAGCAAGAAAAAAAAACTCAAGCTTGGTATGAGAGGAAGGAAAAAAAAATCTTCGAGCTTCAGAGAGAAAGGAAAAAAAATCTGTACTGTGGAGTGAGAGGAAGGAAAAAAAAATCTTCGAGCTTCAGAGAGAAAGGAAAAAAATCTGTACTGTGGAGTGAGAGGAAGAAATCTAGAGCTTGCTGGAGGAGCTCAAGAGAATAGGAAAGGCTAAAGAGAAAGAAGAAAAACGTACCTTGAGGATGGAGTTTCTTCGCCTTGGTTCAGGCACGAGAAGTGACTGAGAGACGAAGAGGAGGAATCTTTTCTCTGGAAAGGCGTGAAAGTGGTCCTGTGTGGATCATGAATTGGCCTCCATGTTTTGGTGGTGGCGGCGTTGGTGGTGGTAGTGGTGGTGGCGGCGGTAGTGTTGTTGTTCTTGGCGGAAGAGCTACTCCATGGAAACATCGCTGGTAGCATCTTGGAGCCCATACCTTTGACGAGATCCACCGCCTCCACAGTCTCCGAGTAGCCCCTCTTGGATCCAGCGCTGGGGAGCTTCAATTTCACCTCCTGGAAGAGAGATCTCTCCCTCGTCGTCTCGCCCGCGCTGTCCAGCGCCTCCTTGCTCCTGGGAGCCGGCCCCAATCCCAGCCCCAGGCTCAGATCTGGATCCTCAACCATGGCTGCCGCCCCGCCGCAGCGATCCTCGGGCTTGTCCACGCTGATGGACGAGGAGCCAATGTAATCGTGCTCGTGGATCTTGGTGCTGCTCTGGCTGCTGCTATTGCTACACGAATTGGCGCGGCTAGCTCCAGCGCCAGCTCCAGCGCCAGCGCCAGCGCCATTGAAGAAAACCCCAGCCCCGGCCGCGCATTCCTCCCCAGCGTTGCTATCGCCCGTCCTCTCAGTCACCACCGAGGAGCTCACGCTGCGGCTGAGCGAATCAAACGCCATCGTCACGGGCGTTGCCGGCGCTGCTCGCGAATCCTCCCCCATTCCCCCTCTTTCACGCGCTAGAATCCCGGATTTTCACCTGCGTTGCCTCCAAACGCGCTGACGATCGGCCAGGGAACAAGACAGAGCTCCTCCAGTGCCGGATTTTAGCCCATCGATCGAGGCAAGAGCGCGAAGAAGACGAAGATCACACTCACGAAGAACGCGGAAGGCCTTTGGAAGCCCTAAAATGGGGGAATGGGGGTTTTATGAAGCTCGTGCGGGCATGGCCATGGCCATGGCCATGGTGGGGGCCATGATGGAATGGATGGATGGCAATGGTATGACATGGTAGCCCATTGGCCGCTGGCCAGTGGCCAAAAACCCCCGCAAGTGGTCCATGTCCATTACTGGCCCGGGAAAGAGGGGACAAGATCACGCCTACCATTTTGTCGTCGTGAGAAAACAGCAAAGCCAAACCAAACACGATTCGTTCTCTGTTTTAAACTTGAGATGGCGGTTTTTAATTTCTTGATTTTAAAATTGTAATTATAGCTGATAATCTTTTTCATTTTTCATTCTGGAAGTTCTAATAGCCATGCTCCGTCCATTTGCTCTTTTGTGTGTTTTTTTTAGGTGGTTGGGAGGCACTAAATGATGTTCATTCAGCATGAGGCCTTCTCTGGGAAAACACGTCTGTCTCCTTTGTCTTTGATCATTCCTTCTTTGGCCTACTTGCAAAATTTCCAGCAGCCTAGGTGCTATGTGCATATGTGTGAAGAAAAATAAAAAGTAGAACTGTGAAACTCAGCATATTATTATAGCTATATTGTTTTATACTACATAACAGATATAAGAGTTCAATCTTTTAAAAACATGTGCTTGTCAACATGAGATCGCAGTAGAGGTTGCAAAATCTGGCATGGAAAGCTGCCTCCACGTTTATCTTTGTGATTTTGTGGGATTTGCAACCGAACAAACCAAACACATCTGCTTGCAGTGTCACTCTCATATAGAGTTAAGTTTTTTTTCTTTTTCCCAATTTGGATTTGGATTTGGATTTAAACTATTCAGCATATCCTCTTTTGTTTTTTTTTGTTTTTCCTTTTAGGGATGTTAGATGCATGCCAGATTGTAGACAATTTCAAGAGTGGAAGTGATTATGACACTGAGGGGAGACAATTTGAATGTTTTCCAGTGGACAAAGTCTGATCAGTTTGTCCAAGACTGGGGTAAAGAGCTTGATGGCCAATGCTTTCACACATTAATGAATTTGAAACCTCACAAGAAAACAGTAGGATAAGAACAAGGACGTGTGCCCGTGTGTCTTGCAAGAGCCCGGTTGAGTGACTTGGATTGATCATTTCTCCAACTCTCTTGTCTTTTGGGTGGGAATGAGAAAGACCAGAAGAAGAAGAAAGAGAGATACAAGAGGGGTCAAAAAGATGGAAAAAAAAAGAAGAAAAGAGCTCCTCAATGTACTTTGTGGGGTGTTGGCAAGATGATTCCCTTCATTTGAAAGGGAAGCTCTCACAGATCCAACCATCCCTGCACTTTAATCAGGATCATGAAACCCACACTGAAATTCAAAGTCCTGGAGAATATTCTGCAAGCGGCACGATAATATACCGTCAACCGACAGCCGGGGACATTCCCCGACAACGATCGAGATACCCCGTGATATGCCGGCCCTCTACCAACCCCACCAATGGGTCCCCATCCATCATGCACACCATGCCATGCGCATGAGCGGCATGGGCCCATAAGGCCCATGTGGGGCGCCAACGGCATGGGTACATATCATATCATTACAAACGCCCCGCATGACGTGTCAAGAGCAAGAGGACCGCAGCGACGTGGCCGGCCTCTCGACGAGACACGTGGTCGCTGGCTAGTGGCCGACAAGCAACCGGCAGATTCCGGCGCTGCAGGCTCCATGTCGTCCGCTGGGGACCGGTCCCTTTTTTGCCCTGGGGGACGCAATCTCCACCGTCTGTCCTCCAAATCGACGGCAGGATTCCGCGAGAAAAGCGCCCATAGAAATGTCGAGGCTTCTTCCGTGACGACTCGATCGATCTCTCTCTCTCGGGACAAGAAAAAAAAACCATTCTTCCTGTTTTCTTCTATGATTTTCCAGTCTTGATTTCTGTCGCTCAGTCTCGCAGTCACAGACAGTGAAAGAGAAGATTAAAATACCTGCAAGAGGAAACAAAGCCATTAGCTCTCTTTACAGAATCATTGTGTACAAATATTAAACTCCTGGAGAAAGAATGTGGTGTTTTCAACGCACCTCTGATAGAGAGCATCAGCGAGCAGCTCCTCGAGGCTTGTAGCTATAGGTGGAATTAAAAAACCACTAAGAAAACGAGAGAAAAACACTCATCACGATCAAAGAAACAGTGAAACAGTCAAGTGAGAAGCAGTACCTTCCAAGTTGTGTTCTTTGTAGATCTTTTTTTCTTTCTTTCTCCCTCCTGGCAATTGTTTAAGTTTCCCAAAGGTCAGTCCTTGTTACTGTTGTCTCGGGAGTGCCAGGAGCAGTAGCAGTAGTGTACAAGTCAACATCTTCCAGTCTCGCCTTTGCTTTGCTTTGCTTTGCGCTGCGTTGCGTTGCTGTGCTTTGCTTTGCCTTTGCTTTGCCTTGCTTTGCCTTTGCCTTGTTTGCTCGCTGCCTCCTCCTGTCTGCCTGTGGCGCGTCCTGTCCTGTGCATTGGCTTGTACAAGCAATTTGCTTGAGAGCCGTCCGGTCTATTCTCCCAATTATGAATGCTTGAAAAGTCCGCTCTGGAGTCTGGACTGGTCCCTGGCCTTGCCTCCATGAATGAAAAAGTGCCTTGTCTCTCTCCGGCGTCTGTCTGAGCAGCAAAGAGAGATTTTTTTTAGTGAAAGAAAAAAAGTGTTGAATGGATGCCCACCAGAGTCTCCGCTAGAGTGAGGCACTGACTGCTCGCTCCGTGTGCTGCTGCTGCTGCTGCTGCTGCTGCTCGTTGTGGTGTTCTGTACAGCTTTTCTTTTTGTTGCTTCTGACTCGCAGCAGCCATTCGACGTCGCTGTTGGTGCTGTTGTTGCGCATTGTTTTCCTGCCACCTTGCTTAAATGAGCGAGCGCGAATTCTCCCGATCGGTTCCAGTCTCTCAGCAACAGCTGCGAGGTCGGTGAGCAGTGGTATTCTTTGAACCTCCTCAGCTCCGTGCAGATGCAAGCAGACTTATCTGGATCAGGCAGGCAGGCAGTCAGTCAAGTCAGAGAATGTGTCGCCTCTCCCCCACTGTAACGCGGAGAGACGTCTCTCCCATGCAGTGTGTGTGCCTCCATGCCCTGCAGGTGTAAGAAAAGTCTACAGCTCTGGGAGTTCCAAGCTTTACGCTTACCCATACCTGTTGGAGACGCAACAGATTCCCGGTAAAGCACCTTCGTGACATCACGTATTCTGGTTAGAGAGAATTTGCAAGAAGAAAAGTGCTACTGACCTGTAATGTGGACTTGAAAATCAAAGCACCAACTTTGTTAGCTCAAAACTTGGTCGACCTTTTGGAGCGATACTAACGCATTTAACTTTCAGCTTATCTCCAACCGAGTAGTCTGATGTACTCGCTCCCTGCAAAATTAATTTAGCAGGGCGGAAGTGAATTGGAAGCATTGGACTCACCTTTCCCGTCTTAAGTACACCACTTGCGCCGGTCTCCATTTTCACAGCTACACCACTCTTCCGGATTTGCTCGATAGTCACATGGTATATAGCACCAATTTCCGCTGTGGTCTGCTTCTCTGTACACGCTTTCTCGTGCTTCTGTTCATGGCCAGCTCCATCAACCTTTTGTTTCTGTCTTCTCTTTGTTTGCTCCTTTTCCTGTTTTTCAGCACCAGCGTCTGAGGCAGTCTTCTTTGATGATCCACCATGTAAGACTTTCATCACCATTAAGATTTTTGGTTCGTCTTTCTTTGTCTTCTCTTTTTCTTGTTTTTCAGCACCAGGTTTTGCCAGCTTCTTCGGTGAGGCTTTGCTTGAAATTTTCTTTTCCTCTGACATACTGGGGCTGTCTTCTGATTGACGTTTTTCTACCCCGGATTGCTGCAGTTGGGTCTTTCCAGCAGTCAACACCGCAGTAATCCTCTCGGCAGTTAGATCGAACGTTTGTGATGATTTCTTTGCTTGTGTGATTGCTTGCGTGACTTTCGCAAGAACTGGAATCGTAGTAGTTGCCTCTGCATCTTCAGTAGGAAAAATGTCAGATCTTAACAAAAATCTAAAGTTCAACTTACTAGCTTTATTTATCACTGCTTTACGTGAAAACTTCAGATTTCCACGGAAGTCTCGTCCTGTACAGAGTACCGTAATTTGCTGTCCAACTGACAGTACGTCTGCAATAGCTGTTACCTGGGAAATACATGACAAGTTCAGTAATGCTTGAAGAGAAAGGCTTTCTAAACAGCGTACAGGTTCGTGTGAGATTTCTGAAATATGAAGAAGCCCTTGTTGCCCGCCATCGAAGTCAATAAAAGCTCCAAAATCTTTTATAGCGGAAACAGTTCCCGTATACGTTTCACCGACTATGATTTCTCGTCCAACTAGAGCTTCAATCTGCAAAACGAATATTAAAAGAAAAACGAGAATGCGCAACATGCATACCATCGATTTTGCCACTTTGAAGCTTTTTTCGGATCTTGAAATAATATGGACATTTCCATCCTCGCCCACAGTCAAACGAGCTCCTGTAAACAGTCCTTGAATGCACGAACAAGGGTAGAAGAACACATGTACCTGAAACGGATTGTAAATGCCTTATGTTCGAACCACTAGGACCGATAAGTCTGCCAATGCTTTCTCGTTGAATAACTATCGTTCCTGGAAAAGAAAGGACAGAACTATAGCCTATAGTTAGGAAAAAACATTACCTCTTCTAGGTGTATCTTGTCGTTGAGTGTCCCGCGGTTTAGAAATTTCCTTTTCCATCAAATCCAAGATTTTCTTCCGAGCAACATACGCAGGTTCTAATGCCTCGCAAAGAATATGCAGTGGCACTCCTGGAAGCTTTATGTCAAGCTGGATCGCAGTCACGCCTTTTTTTGTTCCGGCAATTTTGAAGTCCATGTCACCCAAGTGATCCTCTAGTCCCTAAGAAAAAGATAATTCAGCGTACAGCCAGAGAAAGGCAGGAAAAGACGTACCAAGATGTCCGTCAAAATCTTATAGTTCTTTATTTCTCCAGTCTCAGCATCAACGTTCGTCATAAGACCCACGGAGATGCCCGCCACATGAGACTTTAAAGGAATGCCAGCATCCATCAAAGCCAGACTCCCTGTACCCAAAGTTAAATCCATGAAAAACCAATGACCCGTTTCTACCTCCACAAACCGTTGCCATTGACGATGAGCCATCAGAAGCCATGACTTCTGAATTCACTCGAACACTGTATGGAAAATTCTCATCTTCAGGCGGCAATAGTGCTACCAAGGCCTTCTCGGCTAGAGTACCTGTGAAATGGCTTATATCAATGAGACCTTCGAAAATAACAACTTTACCATGCCCAACTTCTCGGCGGTTTAGGCCTCCTACTTTGCCAACTTCGTTAACAGAGAAGGGGGGAAAACTATAGTGGACCATAAATCGTTTCTTAGGAGGACCAACTATTGAATCAAGTTTCTGTGCATCTTCGGGAGCTCCCAAAGTTACCGTACATAGCACCTAAAAACCTTATAAAGATAGAGGCAAAGCACAAACACGAAATGCCTACCTGTGTATTCCCTCGCGAAAACAAAGAAGAACCATGAAGTGCTGGATATATTCCGGCCTCGCAATAAAGGTCCCTGACGTCCGTCAGAGACCTGCCATCAACCCGAATGTTCTTTTGAAACACATTTTCCCGGACAATCTAAAGGAGACAATTAGGTACCGGAGATAGAAACTTTTTTTCATGACTTACTTGCTTCTTTACAGTGTCAAAGCCAAGCGAAAAACGGCTTAAAGCGGCCTCGTCATTTTCTTTCTTGAGAATATCCTGCACATTTTCCATTGCTTTTCCGAGAGCCTTTCCTCGTTCAAACTGCAAAAACAAACATAAATACACTGCTTCAAAGTTTTCATCGAACCTTTCCAAGCGTCGGGTTATTAACCACTGCTTTGATATGTTCTTCCGATAATCCACGGATTTTCTCTAAAACGGGGACATCAACCTTTACCACTTGTACAGGCCGTTTCCTGTTTCCAACCTTTGCTGCTAGTCGACGCTGTGGTTCTATCAGTTTGGAAGCCTGCAGCATCGAGTAGCAAAGTAATGTTTGCTTTTTGTAAGAAAATTAAGTACCTCCGAATGTGCCAGTTTCAAGGCAGCAGTGAAGTCTTTATTTGTTATTTCTCGCGCTTGTGTCTCGATCATAAGTGACCTTTCAGCTGTACATGAATATATCAAATTAAGGTCACTGCCGCTGAGCTGAAACAATAGACAATTTTAACGCGCAATTCAATGGCTAAAGATAAAAAATGAGAAAACAATACCGTGTCCATGTCGGGGTTAACAACAAACTTTCCATCAACACGTCCTATGCGTACTACTCCAATAGGACCATTCCAAGGTACATCAGACAACGCTAAGGCAGCCGAGGCTGCATTAGCTGCGAGTATATCCGGATCCTGCTCCCCATCTGAACAAAGGACATTGGCCATTATCTGTTTAGTTTGAGAAAATCAGAAACGAGACACATCAAGGAAAAACAAAACCTGGGTTTCGAAGTAGTAGCCCTTTGGAAAGAGAGGCCGAATCGATCTGTCAATGACACGACCGCAAAGAAGCTCCCTCTCTTTTGGTGCTCCCTCCCTACGCATGAAAGTGTTTGGAATTTTTCCCTGTGCATAAGACTTTTCTCTATACTCCACCTGACAAAGAGAGAGATTATGAACAGAAAAACAAAAGAAGATCAAACCTGGAGAGGCATGAAATCCCGACCCGCATCGAGCCTTTCGTCGGACACAACAGTGACCAAAACTTTGGTTTCGCCAGCTCCACAGACCACTGCTCCAGCGGCAAACTGCGCGAGCTTTCCAGTCTCAAAAGTTAAAAGCTCCGGCCCGATCATCACAGACTCTTCAAACACTTGCATTTTTGCTGGAAGAAAACAACTCAAACTAACAAGAGGTTCTTAGAAAGAAAAATCTCTTACCCGCAGACTCGCGCCATGGAGCCGATGTCTCGGAAAGGATTTGCTGCCGGGCGCTCCTGGAAGTAGCAATGTGACGACGCCACTGGTGAAAGAACGACGATCAACGTGGCATTCTCGCAAGGAAATGGAGATTACCCGAGTGGGAGAAGGCGCCGATTGGATTTGGAGCTGCGGGCACACATAGGACGCGATCCGGTGCCTCACCGCTGCTCCCGCCCTCCAGCTTCCCTTCATGGCCCGATAAACCCTAAACCTTGGGGCGATTTTATTTCTACTCAAACGGCCATGTCTAGGGCTCTTTATTCCCTCGTCTCGCAATTTTTCCAAGCGCTACCTGGGCGTGGCGCTGCGAGGATCGCGGGAATGGCGTCTCCAGCATTCGACAAGGTGAGATCATGGAAGCATTTCTTTTGCTCGATCTAGTGGCCGCACTGTCGATGCTTCGATCCAGGAAATTTTCTTCTTTGGGCCGTATAAGATTGATCCCAGAGAAGTGTTCTTGGTCTCCAAGCATTCCTTTGCTCTCGTGAATCTAAAGCCCGTTGTTCCTGGTAAGGCATTGCTCTCTTTCTTTTTCCTTTGTAGCTAAACGAATGTTTCTTTTCTCAGGTCATATCCTTTCTTTCCAGCAGAACTTTGCTCGTTTCACTTGTCTTCCTTGATCTTTCTTTCTTTTTTTCTTTGTTTCTTTTTTATACATGTTCTTGTGAGCTCAAAGCGTGTGGTACCTCGTTTCACTGATCTCAGCAGTGAAGAAGTTTGCGATCTTTGGCTCACCGCGAGAAATGTTGGTGAGAAAGTGGAGAAGCACTTTAAAGCATCCTCGTTAACTTTGGCAATACAGGTATGATCATCGATCAAAACCTTTGTTTGCGTTTAAGTCACTCTTTTAAGAGCTCTTTGTTTTGTTGTTCCAGGACGGGCCACAAGCCGGCCAGACCGTCCCTCACGTACACATCCATGTCCTCCCGCGAAAAGCCAGCGACTTCGAGAAGAACGATGAGATCTACGACGCTGTAAGTTAGTGGCAGCTTTTCTGTCACGGAATCGAGAGACACGGGAGGGACTTTTGATTTTTATTTCCTTGCAGATCGATGATAAAGCGAAGGCAATGAACGACCATCTCAACCTTGACAAGGAGAGACGCGACCGGACAATGGACGAGATGGAGGCCGAGGCCAAAGACCTGAGAGCTCTCTTCGACTGAAGAAGATCAAGGAAACACTATAGAACCCTATAAACTACAGGTATGCCAGTGAATCATCCCTGACACTGTCTCTTCCACTAAGCACTAAAGCGCGGTACTTTTCCTTCCAGACCAATCAGTCAATGAGTGGAGTAGTCACGTCATGAATCCATAACGGAAGTTTCAAAGCCATCTTTTTTCTGGTAGATAAAGTAGGACTACTGTGCTGCTATTGCTACGATTGCGACGCATTTTGCAGTATATGAGGAGCGAGTATGTGGAACCTCTGGAGTGTGCTCGATCATCACCGGGACTCGCGAGAGAGAACACAGAGAGAAGATGGATCTTCTCTGCTGGATGGTCAGTGTTTTAAGTTTTCACCTGCTTTGGAGCTCTGCAGGCTTGCAGGCACAGTTCGTGGGACAGACGTGTGATCTGGAGAGTGAGTTCTCCACTCTCGTCCCGTGCCTGCCTTTCGTGCAAATGCAAGACAATAGTCCCTCGGACGATTGCTGCGTTAGAGTTCATGCAGTCCTCAAGGATCACTTTCCTTGTATGTGTACGCTCATCGATGGAGCTGGAGGCATGGTCGGGCACATCCTCAACGATATGAACTTCACCTTGGCGATGGAGCTGCCATCGCTCTGCGGCGTGAAAGGATTTCAGCCATCGGCTCAGTGCGGATCCTTTGGTGGAAGTAAGTTTTACTTTTCTTTCGTTCTTTGCCTCTCATTCTTCGCTAACTTGGATTCCTTCTCTTGGTTTTTTAATAGTCGGACCATCACCATTGTTCGCCAATCCAAACTTCTCTGGAGCTTGGTCGAGAAAGGCCGGAGCTTGGGTCGTGGCAGTAGTAACTATGGCGATGGCATCTCTCTTCATGAAGCTGTGAAAAAGGAGAGCGTGAGTTTCGTGAGTTTTTGTGTGCATAATGGATTTTTTTTTTTTTTTCTTTGGGCATAGATGGCTTTCGGTGTAAGAAATGAAAGTGTTACTTACACGAACTTCATCGTCAGATTTCTTCACACAAGTTACTTTGAATCACAAGCTTGGTTCTCCCTTGGCTCAGCTCCTTGATCGAGCAGCTAAGTTGGCACTCGAATTGGTGCTTGTAGTCGAAAGGCACCCAGAACCACTTTGATCGCGGCTTGGAACGAAGCTCGGCCTCGAAAAGGAGCTTGAAAGGCGAGCCTTGGAGTGGCATGTATTTGGAGTCGAAGAACAAGGGAACTCTATCACCGATAACGTAAGCTCTTACCACTTGTTGCTTGCGTGCTCCAGTGATAAATCCCCCTAGCTGCGATCGAAGAGAAGTTCTTGAGAGAAAAGATCTTTGCCAGAAGGAAAAGATGGTTTTTGGGAAGAACTCTACCTTACCAGTGGCAAGAGGGAGCTTGAAGTGTGCAGTGAGGAGCGAGAGCCGTATTTGAGCCTCTTTGACGTCGATCTTCCAGCAAAAGGAAGGATTTCTTACATGGAACTGGAGCTTGGAGGAGGAGGAGACGATCGAATTTTGATTCTTGTTGAAAGTTCCAAGCGTGAGATTCCACTGGTAGATGTCAATCTCCTGGAGACAAGAAATCAAAGCAAAATGAGAACTTTTGTCAAGAAACCCTTGCTTGTAACTTGGAGAGAGACGTGAAGTGGTCGAGGACGAAGAATCAGCCTCCATGCGATTCCAAACGCGGCTCCCAGTATGAGCAGCGCGAAGAAAAATGGGTGCCTCTTGACAGTTCCATCGAAAGCCTTGTGCAGAGAAGCCATGCAAATCAATCGATCACCTCGAGAAGAAGAGAAAAACTCCTTTCTTTCGAGCTTTTGAGCTTCATAAAAATGCGAGCTATGGAGTTTAGTCGCCGCTCGTCCAAAGCAGTGGCTCTGCCTTAAAGCTTGTTCTTAAGTTATAAAGCACTTGGTTTTCATACAAGCCACACAGTGAGGTTTTATCGTGTCCATATTTTAGGGCAGTACTGTGTGAGCGATTGGTGATGGCGGAGGCGAGCTCCATCTTGTTCTTGGCACTCTTCCTGGCGCTCTTCGTCGCGGCGCCGGCATTGGATTCGCCGCAGTACACTGTGGTGCATTCCGAGTCGGATTTCGAGGTGCGGTGGTATCGGCCGTCGGCATGGATGACCTCGCAGCAGGAGGATTTGTCTTTCACTAGCGCAACGCTGAAAGGATTTCACAGGTATGTCAGGCTAGATTATGGCATTTGGGATGAATTGGTCTTCTATGCTTCTTGGTTTTCTTGTGTTTCATTGCTTGTAAGAGTGTCTTGCTGAATGTTTTTTATTTCTGTGTAAGTTTCTTCTATCGATAGATCATCTCGAATGGTTTTTACTTTTGTGTATCTTATGAATTTCGATTGAGAAGATCCTTTTTGTCGATAGTTTCATGTCGAATGGTTTTTATCTTTGTGTCCTGTGAATTTCGATTGAGAAGTTTATTTTGTCGATAGATCATCTCGGATGTATCTCGTCATAGGAGAAAGCAACTAAGAATTTTTATGTCTTTTTCCACAGATTGTTCCAGTTCATCCAAGGCGCCAACTTAAACTCTTCGCGAATCCCAATGACAGCTCCCGTGCTCACCGGCATAGTCCCTTCCACGGGCCCGTTTTGCTCCTCAACCTTCCGGGTCCGCTTCTTTCTACCACCGCAATTCGAAAAGTCGCCTCCAGTGGCACTCCCGGAGCTCAGCCTCGCTCCCGAGTTTTGGCCCGAGCGATGCATCGCCACCCGCTCCTTCTCGGGCTTTGCCAAAGACGAGAACGTCGCGGTGGAGGCCGCAAAGCTTGCCGCCAGCTTGAGCAAGACACTGTGGAGCAATGCTACGTCCAAGGAAACCATCTCCGGCGTCGACTCCTACTCCATCGCGCAGTACGACAGCCCTTTCAAGATCTTTAGCCGCCACAACGAAGTCTGGGTGCCTCTCGCGAAATGCTCGGCCGCCAAAAACTGTCTCCCAGAACGAGTTGCCGACGACAATACCGAAGAACGAAGAACTTCCTCCTAGAAAAGAAAGAGGACTAGCGTAAATATCTAAGGTATGGCTTCTTTGCTGCTTGGTGGAGGTGTATTAATTTTCTTCCTACTCTTTGCAGCATAATTAGTGTAAGTGGCAGGCAGCTAGAATCCTTCATTCCAGCGCGCAAAAATCGGATTTTCGTGTTCTCTCTCGGTCGCCGGCTCTCTCAGGTCCTGTTCTCTAGAGATTTTTGTAGTATGCCACAGCAGCAAGCATCGGCAAGCTTCTTCCGGAGCGCTCAAGAACACGCTGGATAATCCCCAGGTTCGCTAAACTCTTTTGCATCTTCTCCATTCTCCTTTAATCGCTCTTCCAGCCGGGAGGAGAAACCATGGAGAAGCTTGCTCGCCGCTGCTGCTACGTTTGCTGCTGCCTCATCGTCTCGATCCTCGTCGCGGTGGCAGTGATCGCCATCGTTCTAAGGGTCGTGCTCAAGCCCAGGGACGTGGACCTCAGCGTCACTCGCATGACGCTCCAGGAGTTCGAGGCATCGCTAAACTTCCCGACGTTCACCCCGACGCTCAAGCTCGTCCTGGCCATGGACGTCCGGGTCTACAATCCAAACAGGGCCAGCTTCGCCTTCTCCAACAGCACCGTCTTGATGTTCTACCACGGCCAGGAGTCCGCGCGCACGCTCGTCCCCGCTGGGAGGATCCCGGCCAGGGACTCCGTGAACATCTCCACGGTGCTGGACGTGGCGGCCAGCAGGGTGATCGCCAATCCAAGCTTTGCGGGCGACGTGCGCGCGGGGATTCTGCCCGTGACCACGGAGAGTGCGATCAAGGGGCGCGTCAATGTGTGGAACATCTACCGGCATTCGATGGTGAGCGTCTCCAAGTGCCAGATCTTGCTGGCGGTGGCCAACCAGACCATCGCGAGCTACAAATGCGAAAACAAGAATATCTTCTAGGGGTGATTATCCGCCGGGATATTCTTTTTAGGGTTCATGAGATGATTATTCGCCGGAATATTCGTTTAGTCTTCTTGAGGTAATTAAACTTTCACTTTTCGATTAGCCTATCATCGCTGTTGAATTGGATTTCTTCTATCCACTTTGCCCGCACGAGTAATCCACTAGGCTCGTGTTGGCTGTGGAGATTTGGAGCTCGCAGATCGAGGACAGCACGAAGTGGTGCTTAAACAAGATCCACTTGTGGACAAATCCTGTCAAATTGGTCTCCACGCCCAGCAGCAAGGGAGAATCCCGTGGAGCATCGAATTCCCCATGAACGGTGGCCGACAGATTTCTCCTCGCTTGCGGCTTGATCGTTCCCGGCGCAATCGCCGCCCGCCCGGCCGCCTTGTCGCCGCCGGGCAGCGGGAAGACGAACGAGGCGGCGTTGTAGTATGTGAATTTCCCGGAGAGATTGGGGTTGGAGAGGCAGAGCACTGTTGTTATCGCTCCCGCGATCCTGGCCGACGAATTCCCCGATCTCGGAGTGGAATTGGAAGGCCTGGAGGAATTTTGCGCCGCTACACTGCTGGTGGGCGACGAGAGATTGATCCGCACAGGCCTCATCTCCTCCAAAAACACCCAGCTGTGATCAATGTCCGCAGGCTCTGGCTTGAGCGCCAAGCCCACGACGAGAACAACAATCACTCCCAGTAAAACGATCAAAACGATGGCCAATTTCCAGTTCTTGCGCGTCGAATTCTTTGTCTTGAATTCCCTGCGTGGATTGCCGTGATCATAGCCCCCCTCCTCCTGAGCCATTGTTTTATTCCTTTTCTACATGACTGAGGAACAAACCAGATCTTTGCTATGGAAATATAAAATTGGATGGATAGAAAAGAAACTTAGATGGATAGGTTCCAATTCACTCTAAGCCCACCCAACATGTAGCAATCAGTCAATCAATCAGTCAGCGTCTTCCTATTCTTTCGATCGAAATCCTTTACACCCTTCTGCTGGCGACCTATCAATTAGGCGGGGGCGAGCCACCAAATTCAAAGATTTGAATTGGAAAGCTCCTCTCTCGCACTTTTAAAACCTAGACATGGACATGTGATCGAGAGAGGGACGACGACGAAGAACTTCTCTCTGGGATAAGAAAAAAACTAATATAAAGCTTTGAAGCTCTTGACAACTGTGGCTCCACGCGTTTGTTCTTGCGACTTTTCCGGTTCTAAGGGAGGAGAGCGAGCGAGAGTTTGAGAAACCAAGGGATTTCTCAATCACATTCAAACAAGAAAGACAAGAGGGAGAAAAAGAGCTTCTCCTTTCGTGAAGGCCACTAAATTCTTCGTGTTGACGAACAGGGAGATGACTTCGGGAGGGGGAATCTTTGTAAACAATTTTGAATTCACACCCACAATCTCCACACGGCTTTCCTGGAAACAAACCAAGTGTTCTTCCTCATCGAGGATATAGTTTTTAATGATCTCCTAGTGACATAGTTATCTTCTACAGTTTATCTTCTAGCACTGATAAGAAATAGACTCGTTCGGCAACGAGAGAGAAGCACGGCAGGATCTGCCAAGCTTGAAGTGGTGTTTAAACTTGGCCCATTTGTGAACATATCCAATCAAGCTATAGTGGACCGTGAGTGGAATTCGATGATTGATAGTAATGTTCTTGGTGTTCTTCCACTGGGGTCTTGCTTGATCCTTGTCGCTGCCACCAAAAACCACTAGAACTGCTGTTAAGTTCGTGCTCTTCTGAGACCCAAGAACACCGCTGCGCAGCTCAAACCGATCGATGGTCTCGTCCTGGAGCTCGAGCCAGAAGGAAGCGTTGTAGTAGTCAAAACTCGCGGCGAGGTTGGGATTCCGGAGTCCCAGCGTGGCTCGAATCCATATGAAACTGGTGCTTTGATTTCGATCGAATGGAGACGTAGAGCTGGCCATGGAGCTGGAATTAACGCTGGAACTCATGAGTTGCATAAAACAGTGCGTGATCTCGACGTTGTGTGCCACGAACACGAATCGAAAGAGCACCACGAATAGCACCAACGCGAGAATTCCAACGGGAAATGCTAGCCGGAAAGATCTACACGACTTGGTCGATGGCTTGTAGATAACATTTTGCGTGACAATGTCGTCCATACCATGGAACTTGATATACAGTTCTTAGGGAAAGGAAACAAACTCTTGCAAACAAGTCTTGACAAAATCGAAAACACTTTGGGCAGATTGACGATGCCTTTGAGTAGAAGATCTGTCTTTCCGTACGATTTGATCATGGTCACGCCAAAACTGATCCTTCTCGTGGCTTTTTTCTGCTGTGGGAGCAATCGAATCAGGGTGCATTCGCATGAGCTCCAGTGTCGAAGGTGGTGGACCACTCCAGGGTAACTTCATAGACGGCACTGCGATCCGATCACACATTTATGGTGTTGCAACAACCATCTTGCTGAATCACCTTCGAAACAAAATGTTAAGGTTCCTTGTGGGCTCCATACTTTTGAGTGTTTGCTTACAAGGTAATATCTCAAGCATTATTGAGCTTAGACATCTTATCACTGATTTATTATACAATCTATTGAGCCAATAGTCCTTACTTCTTTGTTTCTTGAGGTTGAAGTGTTGGTATTACTTTTAGCTGATTCAATCTAACCATCATCATGAAGATCAGATCAAACTTTTAAAGGGGCAATTGCTTAATTGTATGGCCTAGTTCATGTTATTCTTCCCTCCCTTATGGAGCATTGGTAAGATCTTAGCCAATCTAGGCTAGATCATTTTTCCCTTCCACTGGAGAAGAATAATAATAATGATAATAAACCTAGGTAACCGCTAGGGAATCACAACTATGGATTACTTTGTTAATGAGTCATTTTGGATATCTTTTTCATACTACCACAACAATAGGAGATTAGTATTGTTAGTTCCTTTATTAGTCTTTTTTTGTTCAAGTATTAATAACCTAAGTTTTGGCCACATAAGCATATGGAAAGAAGTGATTATTTACCCAAACATACTATATTTAAAAAATGTAAAGAATGGCCTAAACACTATAGTGTTATTTCTATATCCAAATTCAAAATATAAAACCATTCCATATTTATTAAGTTTTTGAATTTATCCCAAAAACCATCTCGAAGGATTGGGGTGAAAGGCCAAAATGAGCTTTCATATAAGGGAGGAAAGGATTATAGAATTCAAAATATATAATAAAGATAGTAGATAGGTGTGGCATGGAAGATCACTTGAGGTTGTTAATTTTTATTTTGCATTTAGATTGATTCTAAACCTAACCTCTATACTGTGGAATACTTATATTTTTTCGTATCAATATACTAAAAAAATATTAAATTCCATTTTATATATTAGTCTTAGTGTTAGGATTTTAGATACTCTACAACTATTGTAATGTTACTCTATACTCCTATTTTTTCCTTCCTTTGCATTGAGAATTCCTTCTTAATACCATGAAACTTAGGTCCTTATGGATTTAAGGATTAGGTTTTCTTTGTAGTTATTCTATGATAATTCATCATAAAATATATTATAAAAACCATATATTTAGTATTAGAACATTAATTCTAACAAATACTATCCAATGAGATTGGGCAATATGATAATCTAAGTAGCTCAAAGTGTAATCTCAAGTTGATAATGTGCCTTATACACATAAACTCATGCAAATTATACATCTTATCCATCTAATGAGTCTAAACAAAAGCTTATGGTACAAGATGGTACACACTAAAATCCATATCTAGAGACATATGCAAAACCACAACCACCATATATATACTAGTGAACTTGATATTAACCCATCATAAGTAGTTACTATAGATTAAAGTAAACCTCCTTTGAGTTTATCATGAGTGGTAAATATGCTAATTTGTAGTTGTTTAGGATAACACTAGTGGATCCTTCCTAGACATGATATTGAATTTATTCCCCTTCAATAATATATTTCAAAGAATAATTGAGTATCCCTTTTATATGCAATAAGTTTATATCAATAATTTATTTTTACCTTTCAAATGTTATATAGCTTTGCAAAAGAATCTTATTTCAAATTTAAATTTTTTAAATTCTGACAAAATTGATATTTAAATAAAAAGAAGAACATAGTATGGATTCTAAGATATTATGACAAACTTTTCTATTATTATACATAGTAAATATTTAAATCTCTTCTACAGTTTTATCTATATAAAGTGCAAAATTTCTAAATATATAGTATAAAAAATATGCTAATATTTAAAAATTAAAACTATACTACACTTAAAAATTGAGCTTAATTCTTCAACTCATGAGTTCAAGAACGGTCCACACTTGGCAACAACATCATCTTCAAGGAAGCTACTCACTATAGTTCCTACAGACATTTGCCATCGCATTCAATTTTCAATACTTGACATCCCTTTAGAGGTAGATTTTGTCATGGCATACTATCAACAGCTTGGCTCCACAACTTTAAAGGATTCTATGATACTTGGATATGCATGGCACAAGCAAGTGAATGGCATCACCACTTGAAAACTTGGGAAGATAGACACTCTACAATGCTTGTGACTTCTCTTTGAATGCACAAGGCTCTTCATAGGTTATAACATCTTTATCCAGAAGGACTTCTCATGAGTTACCAATGGTTTTCCTAGAGTTGATCAACTCTACTTGCCTGAGATGGAGACTTTCCATTGCAATAGCACTAATATCATGCTTCACAATTAAGGAATGCCTCATAGATATCAACACTCAGTTGAGGCAACTCCTTTTTCTTCTGAGTTCACTTCTAGCATCACCACCTTTGTATCTACCTTCAACTCAATGAATGGAGCTCTCCATCTTTTGCATCAAGGTCTTGTACTTTGGCTTGCATGGCAAATGTTCTGGTCCAGAAGAGATTCTGGAAAAGCTGAGTGTCTTGTAGAATCTCAACTCTAGAAGCTAATATTTTCCAGCTAGTTGGACCTGATGTACACATAGAAGCCTAGATACATTGGACAGATGATGTACCTGCCA